TTTGTGTTTCATTTTGGAGTTTTAATAACATTTATCAAAAATATAAACACTACTTACAGAATTTCGAATTGTTTTTACGTTTTTTTTTTTTTTTTGTTTTTTGTTTTATTAAATTATCAATCTTATTTTCTTTGCCGCATTTGCTTTGAGTGTTAATAATAATTTGTGCCTTTTGTCCGTACTATTTCATTTTTTCTTAAACTTTCCGTCACTTTAAAAACCCTTTCTATATTTCGTATAATTTAATAAACAACAGTTCAATAAGTTTAATTCGAGTTAGATTATGTATGTATGTATGTAGTAATAATAAGTCGATTTGCAGCAGTGTTGATTGATTACAAACATTAAAGGAGATGATGTTTTTTCAAAAATTCCTCTTATTTTTCAAGCGGATTTGTATTCTATCAATTTTTGAATTTTTACTGCTAATAAACATACATACCACTTTTCTAGTATACTGTGCTTAGTCAAATATCAAAAACGCTTCGTTAATAAAAAATCTCTGTCATACAAATGTCTTTCGCACAATAGTTGCTGTAGGTTTACAAAACACACCTCACTACTAATTGGCTTAGTACCAATAACGGTAACAATACAATTATTTTCATGTCTGCATGCAAAAATGTGTTTGTGTGAGCATATAAAAACCAGCGCATAGTGGGTTGATGCAGTTACTTTAAATGCTATACTATTTATTATTAATTATTGATTTCTTTCTTTTTTTCGATTTCTAACAGTAGTCAATAAGTTTTGTATCGCCGTTTATTATAGGTTATAAACAAGTGTTTATAAATACAGCACATTATATAATATTTAATTTTTTTTTAATTGAAGTCATTATTGCGTCTGGGTTTGTTTGTTCGTTAGACACGCCACGCCTGTATGTTGTTGTATTAATCTTTCGAAATTCTTTAAGCTTTGAGATTATTAAAAGCCTTCGGTGTATGTATGTATATATGTGTTTAGTAGTATTTTCTAATATAAAATAATTTAATATTTCTTTTGCTGCCTTTTCGCGACACTCACACATAAATTGCGTTTTTGGCTTTTGCTTGAAGGAAAAAATACTATTTGTAAATGTTAAAGTTCTTTTAATATTTCTAGTACCAATTAATGTAAATAAACATGTTTTTAACTTTCAACGCTTGTAAAACAAAATCGTTATGTCAATGCAATGAAAAAAGTACATTGTTGTTAATTTTTGAAAATTCTTCAAATTTTTTTTATAAACAAAGTGCAAGATAAAGTATAAGAATTTTTTGAATACTAGATTGGGAAATTAGTTTGCACAAAAATGTTTATTACATAATTTTAAATGACTTGCAAATCTTTCTATAAATAATTCCAAATAACGACACGGCCAAAATAATCAAAAATTAAAAATTAAAACGCAAGCAAATATAAATTTCAGTGCCACATCAAAAGATATGTTTAAATACATATTCATGGGTTATGCCAAAATTTTGTTCAGTGCAACAATATCTGAAATAATTAATTTTTTTTCGAAAACAAAATTTAAAAGTTATATCTTCAACGTAACCTTAACAGTTTCATAGTATCTCAATAATTAAATGTTTGCAAGCAAATAATTGACATAGCCAACAATTTCACTTTAATTTATTTTTACTTTATGCATTGATTTATTTATACCTTTCTCTTATTGAAATTTAAGCTGTAATGATTAATTTAAAGAACAGTTAATATGCAAAATTGATACAAACGTTAAACATGAGCGTGTACAACAAAAAAATGTTGCACCAAGTGAACTATATGAAATGATAAATTTGTAAATTTTTGTCAAAACCTATAGTGTTTTTTTTTAGAACTTGGTTGGCCGAAAGCAATATTCTGTTCGTTAGAAAACTGCTTCGAAAAAACAATAAAACAAAAATTTTACAAAGTAAAACAGCCTGTTGGCAAGCAGTGATAAACGCATTTACCGTTAACAGCAAAAAAATAACAAATTATTGAAATTATATATATATTTGAATGTGTCCGCGTGTTCGTTTAGATTTTTTAATTAAACGTATGTACATTTGATGACAGCATACACATAATAATATTAACACACAGCAAACATTTTTGCGTACAAGAAAATTTGGCCACTTATACTTTTTTTTACTTTAAAACCCGTTATATACTATACATACAAATGAGATGGAAAATACATATGTATACATTAATGTACATATGTATTAAATTCGCATAATTTTGTTTATCAAGCCTTTTTCCATAATTAAGCCATAAAAGCTAATATTAATTCTGCAAGTAATATTTTGTGTATCGATAACTTAGTACAACTGTACAAAAACATATTTACATATGTATGTTTTTGGGCAAATAGTTTACGTATATACATGTTTATGTAACTGCATGGGTGTATTGTATTGGTTTGTGTTGTTTGGGGGGAAAAACTGCTGCGCCTGCGTGTGTTTAAATGAAATACTGCACTACAAATATTTAACAGCAAATATTTTGTACAGAAGCATTATTAAACTTGTATATATATATATATATATGTACGTCTGTATATAAATATATCATAGTTACAGAATTGTTTGAATAATGCCGCAACCTGTGCACTACATACAGCTAATAATGTTTTGTAAAATACTTGGATAGAAGCATGGATTGCCTACACATAACTACAAGAAGTGTATGTATGTATAAATATATGCGAGACCGACATCTCTATTAAACATTTGGAAAATTAAACAAATGCAACAGCTAAATTCATTTTATGAATAAAACTCCTTTTCATATTAATGTTTAATTTTGTTTTTGTTTTTCTTTAACTAAGTATAACGTCTACTTTCAAATGCAAATTTACAAACTATTTGCTAAGTTGTCAAGTCTTATTTGATTGCCAAAAATTTATGTTTTACTTTTCGTTTTTTATTAATATTATTTAATTCTTAGCTTCATTTTCGTTTAACTAAATGTTTATTTCTTCTTTATTCAAAATTATTTATTTTGCACACAAATCCATTTCATCAACAGCTTACCAAAAAAAACATTTTTTGTGCAGAATATGTTTTTTTTTTGTTTTTAATTTTATATTTAACATTCTTTATTTATTTTTGCTTAGTTTCACACAAAATAGTTCAGTTCAGTCTATAAAACCAAAACTATGTATATATAAAAATAAAAAAATCTAATTTTTTAAACAACTAACAATGCTTAATGCTTTGCTCAAAATAAAATTTATCTAAAATACATATACCATCATCATCATGAGTAATAATTTCAATAAAAATAAAAAACAAACCAGTGTTGTGCGCATATATAAATTACAAATAAAATAAAATTAAAAATAAACAAGCAAAAAAGGTATAAAAAAATAACAAATAATTTATAAGTAGATAATAAGAAAACCATTAAATGTCTCCGTGTTTTTAATTAAGTTTCACTAATTTAATTAATGCTAAGATTTGTTGTTATTGTTTTTGTTTTTCTTCAATATTTTGTTTTCCATACTAAACTCAATCATTTTTAGCAGCATTTAGGTGTGTCAAAACCTTACAACTTCTACATTTATATATATATATATATGTGGTCATTAAAGCAGTAGATATCGGAGCAAACTAATTTACTGCGGTAGTTTGCTGCTCTTTTGCTTTCGAAGTATCAAAAATAGCAGGACAACTGGGTACAACAAACATATGTACACTTTATAATAGGTACATACAATGCATAATTGCGTGTCAATCTTATCTGTGCAAAAAGTAATAATAATAATAATTGTAATAATAATAATTATCTTATGCAAGTGGTCTTACCAACGAACGACCGTATACACACATAACATTTAATATTAAGATTAGATTATTGTAAATAAAAAGGTTTACCGGCATCAGTGCAGCTTCATGTTTCGGAACTGATACACGACTTGCAAACTTTCTTATCCTTTACATATTACACCGACTTAATATTTAGGTAATTATGTGTAATTGTTTTTGTTTTGTTTGCTTTACTATTCTCCACATTTACATAACAATTGGTGGGACCTGAACATACCTGTAAATGTATAGACGGTAATCTTTGCTAGCCAGTACGACGCTGCCATCGTCCATGAGTGCTACATCAAAGCACTGTGCATGTTTAACCTTTGATTCCAATGCGCTCACTAGTTGTCCTTCTTGCGTGAAAATCGTCAAATTGAAGTTATTATGATTGTCAGCAATTAAAATTTCACCATTAGCATTTATCCCAACACCGATTGGATAGTTGGTGACACCTTCGCCGCCAATCTGTCGCAAATACTGACCCTCATAATTAAAGACTTTAACGCAATGTGCACGATTGTCACTGATGAAAATCTCCTGTTTGTCATTGACCACAACACCATTGGGAAATTCCAAGTGCTTGCTGCAGCCAAACTTGTGAATCGCATTGCCGTTCTGATCGAAAATGATGACGCGCATCACTTTGCACTCTACCACAATGATGCGTCCTTTGTTATCCACGGTGACACCGCGTGGATGTTGCAATATGTTGGCACCGAATTTACGCACAAATTGTCCATACTGATTGTAGATCTGTATTTGGTGTGTTGGGGAACGTTCGGTAACAATTATATCACCGGAATTACGCACGACAGCTACACGATTCGGATACAAGAGCTGTGAATCACGTTTACCACATTCACCAAATTGAAATTTAAAGCGACCTTCCTTATCGAAAATCTGTATGCGATGATTATTCGTATCGGCGACAATTATGTCATTTTGTGCGTTTACTGCGACACCACTGGGTTCGGTGAATTGTCCCTCCAAAACACCGAATTCACCAAATTTACAATGGTAAATCATTTTCTGGCGTTTAATTTGTGACTTAGGTGGATAAGTGGAGGTAGAGAGCAGTTTCGAAGTTAGATCCATTAGTGAATCGGTAGATGCATTACTACCTTGTACAGTTAGTGCACTGAGTGCGCTGCTACTGGCGCCCACACTGCTTGTCAGTGAGTTAAGTAATTGTGCGCTTGAAAATGGATCTGTAGTAGAAAAAATATTATCACTACCGCCATTACTCCATTTCTCATAAGGATTAACACTGACATATGGTGCAATAACACCATTGACGGCCGTTGCATGGTTATGATAACGTTTAGCCATCAACTCCTCGAAATTTGCGCTACTATTTGCGCCACCGTTGCCAATCAAATTATGATTGCTACGTCCAAGTATACCGCCAACACCGTTTACACCACTACCAACCATAGCATTATTGTAGGTGTCAAGGAGGCTACTCGACAAACCCAAACCAAGCGGCAAATGTGTTGAACCTACACCGCTGAGACTACTATTGCTGCTGCTGCTATTGGATGAGCTCTGTGTTGGTCTGGCTATGGGTGGCTGTTTAACTAATTGACCACTAGTTGTTTCAACATTGCCTGGTCTAACATAACCGAACGTGTTGCGTACACCCGCCTGTATGGACTGGTAATTTGAAACAAATTCCAATTCAAATGGCAATTGCATATCCATTAAAGCGGTTTGTAGCTGCTGTTCAAGCATTTTGCGCAGCATTAAAACATCGGTGACACTATGTGTTTTCGGTGAACGTTCCAAACTATCGCATGTATGCACGGCTTTCTCAATGAGTTCCTTGGACCGCTGCAACCAGACACTGCTCGATGCCACTTTGGCATTATATAAACCCTCCAGTTCCTTCAAAACCTCTTGCTTACGCTCGTCAATCATCGAACAGAAGAATTGATAAGTCTCATTGACCTCATTGTGTGCTTTTTGATATTGCATTTTTATTTTGCTGGAATTATTGTCCGAATTACTACTGACCAACGATACAATTTCGGCAATTTTTCCACGTAATTCAGTCAATACAGTTTGCAACACCGTTTCGGACGACGATTGTTGTTGGCTGTTGAACGTTGCTGTTGTCGACGTATTATTTGGTGGGAAAACTGTCGATAATTGATGTTCTTGTATATGTTCAACATCATGTAAACCGGCTGAATGCTCTTGCAGGACACATTCATTGCAAGCAATCTTGCAGCATGTGCGACAATTGAATTTCAAAGCTTCATTTTTGTGGCGACGACAATACGATGTTGACCGTAATTGTGGAACTATATTGCCAAATAAATCATCAGCGTTACTGCTATTCTCCAATTGTTCACCATTATCGCCCAATATAGCGGCATTATTACTACCAACAAGATGCGAATTCATTACCATTTTGGAGAGTTGCGTAAATTTGGTGATTTGTTGCTGATGTTGTTGCTGTTGCTGCTGCTGCTGCTGTTGTTGTTGCTGTTGTTGCAACATCATAGTTAGCGAACTAGATAACTTTAAATCGTTTGTAGTCAGATTACTGGACGTAGGGCCTGCTAAGTTTGTGGCGGTGACTGAGGACGTTGGTGTCGTTGATGGTGCTGTGGTCACGTTATTTGTGGTCGTATCAAAACCTTTTATTAATGAGACATTATGCCCGTTAAAACAGTGCATAAATTGATGAGCTGTAACGCAATTGGCGCATAAATAGCTAATACACTCAAAACATCTCGCCACAGCGTCTGATTGTTTACTCTTACAAGCGGTGCAACGCGGTACAGCACCACCATTAGCTGTGGATACGCTTACAATGCCATTATTGGTAAGTAGATTGCTGCTCGACGGACTACCTTTACCATTCAAATTGCTGCCAATAACGCCAGGACCGTTACTACTGTTACAAGTGATACCGCCGAGTACACCCCCACCACTACTACCGCTATTTATGTTGCTGCAACTATTATTACTATTAGCACTACTTGTGCTGCCGCAACCACTTAGACCGCTACTAGACGACGACGACGAAGAAGATGATACTGAAGCCGAAATGGGATGATGCTGATTACTAACGGATCCTGAGGAGCTGGTAAATTCGTCACAAATAGCTGAGTCACTAACTGGTGGTGATGAGCCGCTCAGTGTAAGTGGGGAGTCAGATAAATATCCTGTGTGTTCGCCGTAAGATTCTATGGAATTAGTACCACGTATGGAGTCCAATGACGGGGTAGGAGAAGAGGCCATTTTAGCAGGTGAGCCAAATGACCAATATTGCTTCTAGAAATATAAATAAAATTTATATAGAAAAGAATACTTAATAAATATTTAACGAAGTAAAGTTAATTCATTACCTTTAATCCTTGTAAATGAATTTTTTCTGCTTACGTTCGACCGAGTAATTTCTAATTTACAGTGTTTGTATGTAAAAAATGTGTTGGTTTAGCTTTAACGTAGATATTTACACAGTTGCTGCGTTTCTATTCAAGGTTCAATTTATTTTCCACTTTAGAAAAAATGTAGTGATCATTTTTAAAAACTGTAAAAATTAAAATATATTTTTTACTAACAATATTTTATAATAAAAACCTTACAAACTACACTTAGCAATGCGCTTTTTTAACAAATACATTAATACAATATTATAAATTTAGGGAAATTACATGCTTAAAAGCCTGTAGACAATAATTTGTTGTAATAGCACCGCCAACGGCCCGGACAAAGCTAGTCGTGAACGAGTTGAACTGACTGTGCTGTAGCAAAGAGTGCATATATACATATGTATGTGTTTATATATATAGTCATACTCACAAATATTCCAAAATACTATATATAGGTATACACTGCGTAAGCATACAGACAACCGAACAGATGTTATGTACTAATATAGACAAATTTCTAGATATTAATTTTTATAACCTTTCCGAAAATTTCAAACGGGATGGCATTGCAGTGAATGCAACAATAGAATAAACAGGATTATTTGCCTTCCTAGAAAAAATGCTTAGCGACGCAGGACGATCACCATACAGACTCACCAATACAAGCAAATATATTTTAATGGCGACAGCTGCGGCGGGTATAAAGTTTGTCGGCTTAGCTCACTCAACCTCCAGAGTGTCGTACAGAAGAACATGAAGAGTTGCCAACAAAGTGAACAAGGGTTTTATAAAAGTGACATAAATTGTAGCGCATACTGTAATTAGAAGAACATTCAAAAGGACCTGCAAACATACAGGCACAGACTTTTTGATTAGTAGACTTTTTCAGTTAATTTTGACAACTTTACTGACTCGTAACATATTATTATTATAACATTATATTGCCATTATTAATTTAAAAAAAACATCGTCCTTAATAATGTTTTAAATATATACTTTTCTTTCTAACGCCATTATAATGGCATTTTTTTCAAATACCATACAATATATAATTTACCTAAAAGTTGGCAATCACGGTATTCTACCCTTAGCGCAATTTCACCGTACCTACTCGCTCAAATGCATTGCATGTGTATATTTGTTCCGGGTGCAAACGAGCGAGTACGCGCACCCTTAACGACTGTGTCGATTCGTTTCATTCCGCCTCCGCAGTGTAAGAGACTCTCATGGCTGTTTTTGTTTTCGTTCTTTTTTTTTGTTAAAAATCAATATATATTCTCAATTTCAACACTAACACAGCCGACAGATGACAGCCGCATTTTCAGCTGCCGCCACTCACTACCAACAACCAAAAAGCAAACATAAAGCAAAAGTGTATCTTGCAAGGGAGTTACAACAAACACATGCGTATATACATCCTAATGCATGTATATACGAGTAGACAGACGCTTCCACACCCGTAGGGGGGCAAATTGTCGCCCCAACTGACTCATATTTCAACAAAAAGCCGAACTGTTGAATGTTAGACGGCACAAAAAAGCATTTTCCCCATTCGCATAGTTACCAAGCAGTATGTGTACGCGTGTATGTGAGTTTGGATATATTTATACCAGCTTTGGAGCTCTACAGGTTGTGAAGCGGCGCAGTTTCATGAACTTTCGAGCCCCAACCCAGAACAAAATAGTAGCGAATTGTTGATGTTGATTTTCGTTGTGGCTGCGGGTGCGTTAACATCCATTCGGCTATTTGAAATTCGCAATCATTCATATACATGCATATGTATAAATAGTAGTATGGAAAAGGACTTGTATTTTCTACACTCACACAAGCATGGATAGAAATAATTGTATTAATGCATTTGTATGTATGCACAGCTACTTTCTATGCATGTAAAGCGAGGCTAAAAATAAACTGGACTCCCTTTCTATATAAAATGTATGTATGTACATATCTAAATACGAAAGTCCCCTTTTGTGTATATGTACCTGAATATAAATAATTTACTTTAATATTTAAATATAGTGACTTAATTGCAGAAATTTCCCAACCACTTGCTTATATACACAAATAATATATGTATGTATGTACATAAAGAACATTTTTCTCAACATTACAAACGAATTTTTAGTACGTCAATTTATAACCAATTATAGTATCGAAATTCTTATTGAAAATTGTATTGAAACTAAATTTGTAAATCATATTTTTAAAAACACCAGATACATTCGTATATTATATCCCTTCATACATACATACATACATATGTAAGTACAAATTTAGATACGTGTGTACTCCTTGTTTCCAGACCAATGACCGTTGCAACTTTTTGACAACCGTTACGTTTACCTGGATGTTTGCAGCAAGGATAAGGGTTGATGTGTATGTACATATGTAAGTATAACAACCCTATAGATGTATGTATATGTATGCATAAAAGTGCACCAATACATACCCACATACAGTGGTAAGTATTTACACATGCATACATCTGAATATGTGTATAAATACAGTATACAGCACCATAAAATAATAATGTTTGTGCTGTTTATTTGAAAATTCAAGCCTGTGACTAGTTTTTCACCGCCAGGAGTTGTTAGGAAATTAATATAAATTTCTTACTAAAATATAGTCCTATAAATCATTTGCACGTTATTACTTTATAATTTTCACTGACATTTTATTAATGTTGCAATCTCCACCTAGTTTTGTTATTTGTTTTGTCTTTTCCGAGGTTTTTTATGAAGTCGGTATATTCCTTAAAATTAGAGTAATATGTAATTTGAGTTTGTTTCTTTTTTAGTATTAATAATAACGATAAATAATAGAATAATACAAACAATAATAATAATATGAGCCAAAGGAAGAACTGTCATAAGATCGAGAAAAGTTGCTAACAAATACTTTTAAATACTTCCGGAAATAAATCACAAAGTAATCAAAAAAAAAATTGTTTCGTTAGAAACTCCCAATTAATTGATATTTTTACCAGACTGTGGGGCTATAATAGCATCTTTAAAGATAAAGGATAAAATATGTGACAACCAACAGAAAAAAAATTTAAATATATTAAAATTTTATGGAAATTTTTTTATTTAGTATTATACGTTAACGCTAAAATAGCGAAAACAGCAAAAACAAATTCTTGGATCTTTTAACCAGAAAACTCCTTAAGTGCCACCTCGAACATCCCAAGCAAAAATTGGCGTTTCAAACCTCAAATTCCGTTAACCGTTTTGGGCATGGCTATTTTAACATAAATGTTTATATATCTTTCAAACCCTTTAATAATTTGTATATTATTGCTTGGAGGAAATTCAAGTTTTCTGATTTATAAGCATTAAAACATAATTTGGTTAATTTGAAATTTATTTGCATTAACACCTCTTCACCGAAACAAGTAAAGTGTTTTAATGGGATATTTATAACCAATTTTTTAAGCAATATTTATGCTTATATTTGAATATATATTATATTTGAAAATTAATAATTGCAACTCAATTTACATAAACATCCGCTTTTTCCTACCCCGATATAATAAAAAAATAAAATAAAATTGAAAAGTTTGACTTCTGTAAAATAATTACAGGTATCGCATTAATAATTGTCATTAATTAGCATTTTTATCGATAGCTTAACTAAAAACAAAACACCACATATGTATTCATAAAGTATGTACGTCTATTTTTTAATCCCACTTAACAAATAACCATATATATTTGTGGCCCTTTAATTCATCTGAGTGAAAAATCAAAAAAAATTTGTTCAATAACAATTGCTAGTACTTCGCTGTCCTGCGGATATAGAATTTCATAAATTTTCACTCATTATTATAGCAACGCAACCGATATTTAATAACTGGTAAATGGAGCTTTATTGGAGTGTATCGGCACATTGCATTGCAATTATCTATAACTTCCGACTTCTTTTCCGAAATCCTGGACAGTCGTCAGAATATAAAATGCAAACATTAATGGAATTCAAAACCGATGGGTAGAAGCTCTAAAAAAACAAACAATTAAAAAAGACGTAAGTTCAGTTATAACCGAACATTTCATACTCTTACAACTTACAATATTTAAAGCCAGGGAAATACCGTCAGGAACATAAGACTTAATAGTTACATGGGGTCTAGGGTGAGTTTGCAGCCGGTTTTATTCATTCTAGTGCACTGTAATAAGGCAAATGCGCTCTTTCAATTTTATTAAGATAACCCACTAAAAGTCACCAGGAAGTTCGAAAATATTTATATTAGTTATAATTAGATAATGAAGTATTGAACCCTTTCAGCCCACTTGTAGCACACAGACATACTGCTATCAGGAAAGAATTATCTCTGAATTTCAATTATAAATCTGACACATTGACCAATATTTTCGGTAAAAAGTCAAGTGTAAGTACTCGAGTATAAATATTCGGTACCTAGAGGCTTGAGCAGTTTTTGTTGGATTTGGGAAATTTTTGGTCATATGATGAAAAGAATCCAATAGAATTGCAATATGAGAACAATTGTTAGCCATAAAGTGGCAGACTCGAAGCGCATTATTCCTGCAAAGTTTTATGCCGTTTATTAATTGCTTCTTGATTTATACACTCGAAAGGAAATAATCAGATGGAATTTAAAATTGTGTTATATGGGCCGATTTCGCCCATTTTCACTCTGTAGCATAAAAAGGTAAGAGGAATGCCACTTACCAAAATTGGTTGAAATCGGTCTGGAGATACATAAATATGTATTCACTTAAAAGTGGGTTACCATCCGATTTCATCCAACTTCAAACTGTCCGTAGGAGTTCCCCTATGCCAAATTACAGTTCTAATGTAACTCTTATTTTTATATGTTCTCGATTAATGACGTTTTGTTGACGTGATAGCGGTCTTATTACAATCATCTACGTACTCGTATGGTAAGGAACGCCCATACGAATTTTCGTCAAGATTTCTTAATTTTTACAGTGAGTTACAGTTACGGACGGCCAGACAAACCGTCACCCGGATTTGAACTCGTCTCGTCATTCTGATCATTTATCTATATATAACCCTTAAAGGCAGCCGTTAGCCGGATAAAATCCGGGTCAATTCCGGTACGCGGAATCGGCTGTCGAGGGAATATATAACCCTCCTTACTCTGTAGCAACATGTTGCAAGAGTTTAAAAAGCC